AATCACCAATTAACCTCAACATGTTTCTGGACTGTGGGAGGAAGAACCTGGAGAACCTTGCTGCACGGGGAGAACATGGAGAGTCCACGCACAACATCCCAGGTGTCCTCACTGGGACATGAACCGGTGACCTTCTATCTGCGAGGCGACGATGCGAACCACCGACCCACCTTGAAGCCCTCCCATAGTTGGTCTACAGCTAAAAACATGAGCGGAAGAAGATGGATGGATGGATGACAAAAACAAATATAATTTAAGTTTGACTGATATTGTCTCAGGTAGATGATGGAAAAGTGGATTTTCTGATGGTTTGAGAAGATGTCGGTTCTCATTGTTGGTTCTTTTATTATTCAATAGTATTGTCAGCCGTATCCTTTACCTCATGAGGTCCTGATGCAACATATGTGTGCATCTATCCGTGTGTTTAGAGGGCGCCTCAGGCCTTACTGAGTTAAAAGTAGAGTCATATTATGATGAATATACAGCTGTAGGGAAGCGTTCTGTCGCTGCAGATTACAGGTGAACAGCTGCATAACTTCACTTTATCTCCACTTCACCTCGACACCCTCAACCTGTGGATGTAGCTTCCCACACAGATGTAAATATCCGTGACCTCTGACCGACTGTGTGAGCACACGTTTACCTTCAAGTATCAACACCGTGTTCCAGCATCTTGCTTCAGAACAGAACAGCAGGCCAATAACTCACTCAGCTTATTTTTTTCACCGTTTACCTCGTATCACTCGTGTAAAATGTGTTTTTTTTTCCCCCCACCGGTTTTCTTTTTGGTGGTCCGGGACAATCCGCCGTCCAATTGTTCAGAGAGCTCTCTAATCCAGATCTGAGTTGTGCAGCGCGGCCTAATAGGATCGTAGTATTAACCGTGATGACAATACCACCAGCTGTCGCAGGGCCCCCTGTTGGCCACCGGTGGCAAGTGTGTCCACGGGGGTAGGGTGGGGGAGAGGAAAAAAAAAAAAAGAGGGCGGACGGGTTGACTGACAGCATGAGACGGACGCAGATTGACAGCGATGTGATGCTCTTAGTCTAATGTTAAATAGCGACGGCAGCAGCTCGGAGGAGAAACTCCTGAAGTGCTTTATTCTTGGACGACTACCTCTTTAACTTTTTGACCTCCTCCGTTACCCGAATTTTTCTTCTTTACTTTTTTTTTTTTTTTTTTTTAAATT